AGTCTTAATACCTTTCTTTTAATGCTAATAGGTTAAATGAAAGGAAAATCCATTGCTCCAACTTCATATCTAGCTGTTTAAATAGTAATCTTACTACACTTAACTGAATTTGAATTGTGTTAGAAACTGCCTTCACCCTCTGTCAATCAACTGTGCTGAAAAACCCATTATTGCTATTAGTAGTATGAAATTTACTGTAAATTGTTAAACTGCTAAACCACGTTATCCATAAGATGAAAATATGTTTAGACTTGACTTTGTAACAGGAATAGGGAGAAATTGCAAGGACAAGCCAAATATTTATATAAAATAAAGTATTTTTATTAGAAAGAATTCATAAAAATATATAAATGGACTGAAACAATTTATGTGTTTTTCTGGAATTTGGAACAAATTAAATGCAGTTAGTGTGATACAGCAGTGAAATACAGACCAGTTTGAACAGTTTGGGTGTCTTTGGTTGCTGTCTGTAAGTGGAAACATAAGCACTGCAGGTATTTAAGGTTCTGGGACTTGATCTGTATATATTTTCAATTATCATGCAGTATTTGTTGAACTTCTTACAAAGATACACCAATTAAGTTTAACTTACAGAATTTACTAAGTTACTGCTGCTTCAAAACATTCATTGTCCCTACTGTTCTTAAATTAGCTGCACTTCCTTTTCTGATTTTTTTCAGCCTTTCAGAGATGAGGAAAGATCTGTCACTGTATCCACTTGCCTGCCAGCATAAGACCTCTCAACAGTTTATTTCTACTGTCCTAGTTTTAAATGACTTGCATGCATGTGGCCTCTCTTCCTCTTTGTTGAGGTTTCACAAGAACTGGTGTTAACTCTGGCCACACAACCAACAGGGAAATGTTGTGTTTTGCTTACCTTAAGAAAGTTTGTAACCTCTGTCCAACGTGAACATATTTTCCACTGTGTTCCGAGACTTCACTTTCCTACTGTGTATTGTGGGAATGTACTTGATTCCTTATTTTTTTTAAAACTAACTTTAATTGATGGTTGAAGTGATAGTCAACACAAACGTGTTGCACAACTAAATTTCTTCAATCCCATCTATATCTTCCTAATCCAAAAATTCTCCTACAGTTACATTTTTGAGTAAAAATATACCCTTGCTATCAGTTTTAGCAGAAAGATTTGACATATATGATCTTCAGATGCTTTCATCATTTTAGTGGGGAGTCAAGACCTCTGTTGAATACTGCCATGTTTGGAGTGGTAAAACCTTGACTCTTTCTATCTAATATTTGTTACGAGGTTTTAGAATTCATATGTGTTCTCTATTTACTTACAGCATTAAAAGTGGAGAAAAAAGATCTCTCAATTTTTAGCGCTCTGGTTCTTCAGCTTGAAAACAGATGAGAAAGATGTTCTTTGCTTCTGTTAACTAAAGGGAAATGAAAAGCAATTACAGCAGAAACTTTTTATACTGTCTACCCTCCAAAAATACTTGTGTTTGGTAAAGTGTTAGAACTAGGATTTCTTCCACGGTCAATACTGTAAAGAATATACATTGTTTATGACATGTTGTGATCCATTTCTGTTGAACAAGTTGGTACAAAAGTGGAATGAAAAGTGTTGCTGATTATGCATACAGTTGAGAAAGCAGTGCTTTTTAACTGCTGAAAACTTGAGAAAGATTTCTGATGTAGCTGCTTCTACGACCCATTGAAGGATTAGGGAGAAGACAGAACCAGACTCTCCTCCAAGGTGCATAGCAAAAGCACAAAAAGTAATGGTCACGAGTTAAGTGAAATTCTGATGGGACTTAAGGGGAAGAAAATTCTCTGTGAGAGTGATTAAGAATCACCATCACTGGAGATATTCAGAACTCACCTAGGTTAAGACCTGGAGAAACCTGATAAAGCTTTGGCATTACCACAGCTTTAAATGATGGGTTGGGCTGTTAGGCCTTCTTTTCCTGGTGTTGGGTGTCTTCTACTCTGTGTATTTTTCAGAACTAAAGGTTGTCTGTTGTCTTTTGCCAGCACATAGAACTCTGATGTTGCGAGTGTTCTGCAACCTTATCATTCAGTGCTTTAATGCAGAATAGAAAACAAATTTTTCTGTGGAAAATCCAGAGGAAGGGGTACTTGGCAGTTCAGCAAGTAACAATTAATGAGCTAGGTATTTAAAAACCTGCTGAATACCTATTGTGGAAATTCATGTGTGCCATGGAAAAATGCATTTGAAGTACTTCATAGCAGATGAAAGCGTGTTTGCAAAGTTCAAAAAGGTGCCTGCCTGTATATTAAACATTTCTATGGACTGTGTCTTTAATTCTTTTTCTTTTATCACATATGCTGGTTAAACTCAGTCTTCGTGAGTCTTCATGTGTCCTTATTCAGAGCCCATGTGTGCGTGCTCACCTATATTAGGGTATGTGTAATAAAAGAGGAAAAACGTAAGTGGTATAGAGACTTTATGAGGACAGGCTTGTGACTGCATGTCTTGTCGCACACTGGTAAATCTTCTGAAAGTTTTCAAACTTAAAAAGGAAAATTTCCATATAGCATCACAAAGTTTAGGTTCTGTAAATGTCACATTTTAGAGCCTTTAAAAGAAGTTTGGAAGGCTTTTGTTCTTTCCTGAGATATTTCATTGGCATTTTGTATTCATTCTTACTCTTGTCAAGCCTAGTTTCCTATTGCCAAGAATCCCAAGGGAGAAAGTATAAGTAATCTATATCTAGGAAGCTCAAAAAATGCCTGCTTCTAAAAACTCTCTCCGCAAAACATAGTCACAGACTTGCAGCTGGAATTATCAGGACTGAAAACAAGTGCTCAATATCTTACACCACAGTTTTAGATTTTTATAGTCCAGATGGATTTCAAGATCCTGGGTCTGAAATCTACTAGTGATTAAGGAATATATAACTTGGACGATATAACTTGAGGGGGGAAAGAAACTTTTCTTTGAAAGGCACTTTTGAAAACAACTTAATTCAAAGTAGGTGCTATTTAAAGTAAATTCTGAGATCTCGGAGTGTAATAGTAATGGATAAACATTACAGTAAACCCCATTTCATAGTATAAAACAATAATGCAGTTGTATATTTCACGTTTTGTTGTGGCATAGTGGTTGTTCTTTTAAAGCAGTGTGCCCAGCAAGAGAGTTTTGTACCTTCTCTTTTCTTTTAAATAAAAAAAAAAAAAAAAAAAATTGAGGCAAAAGTTAGTGGAAGAAGATGAATAAGTGAAGTAAACTTGCGGTTATTTATCATAGCTTTTATCACCACCAATGGATGTATAAACAATTTTTATATTGACCTAGTAAATAACTTCAGTAATTTTAACATTTTAAGGTCTCTTTCTCCCTTTTCCTTGAACTCCTCACCTCACTTACCTATTTTTCTCTTGAACTGCTTAATTTTTCTTATTCTCACTAGAGTCTTGCTGTCATCATCGTCTTTAGTTGCAAGACTGAACTCAGTCTGTCTCTGTCTTATCTGGTCTTTTCCCATCACAAAACCATTTTTTTTCTACTGTACTTCTACCTCATTTTCCTTTTTTAGAAGAGCTGAAATCCTCTCTTCTTTGTCCTTTATCTCAGACATTTAAAACCTTTACTTTATTGTAGAATATTTTCATCCCCAGGCCTCAGCATTGATGGACTTTCAATTCTTTAGCACTCTGATCTATCCACTCGTATAAGTTCTAGTGACTTACAGCTGCTGTTATCTCAGAAAAGCTGAGACTACTTTGAGATTTTGCTCTTCCTGAAGGGCCAATAAAAACAGTGAAGCTAAAGAGGGGGCAAAATTATGTGCTTCTGTGATCTGGACTATGTGTAGATTTAATTGATGTAGTTTCACTGAAGTGTCAGGAATAGTGGAGGAAGAGTAGATTTGGTGTCACAGAACCATGAACTGTGGCATGAACTTGAGAGTGCAGTGATCCATGGCTTGCTGAAGAATATGGAAGTGAGCCAGAAGATTTCCTGGGTTTTTTTAAAGTTTTTTTTAGGCTTTTCAAATTGATAAGAGCATTATTTGTGCTCCTCAGTACTAGAATGAAGTGGGTAGATATCGTTACCTCTTTTTCACTCTTGGTGGACATCTTTAAAATCTAGCTATCTGTTGTGCATTACCTGAAGGATCACTCTTCATATTTTTTCTCTGACATGCTGCATATTCTTGGAAATCTCACAAAAAATCTACGACATCTGTTTTCGTGGGTGCATTTTGAAGCTCAAGGAAATATCTATTAAGTGTAATTAAAATTCAAACTTAAAACCACTGCATTCACAAGTGCTATAATAAGATGCAAGCACTGTTTGCTTCAGAGTTGTGCTTGCTGTCTTGCAACTTTACAGAGTAACACAGTCTTCAGCAACTTCTTCAGAAGGTAATTTTTGTGCTTGCAGTTGATGTTCCAAGTTCTTGACCCAGATGGTAAAAGGTATTGAACGTTCTTTGTGTGGCTCAAACCTTTAATCTGTGTAAATTAAAGAGCAATTTTATAGAAATTGTATAGAAACTGAATACCATCAGTTTCTATTTCTGTATGTTGGCAAGTTTTGGCAAAGAGGGCCTATATCAGTGAATGGGTATTCCTTGATGTGTGTGCATCAAAATAAACTTACATTAAGCTGTAAAATAGCCAGACTTCACTGCATGTGTTCCACAATGAAGTATGTGTCCAACATTCTAATGAAACAATACCACATCCTGATGCTTCTGCTTTGTATTTAATGTTTTAGTTTGTCTTACTCCAAATGTGAGGGTAATTGTTATTTTCAGGAATTACTGTTAACTAAAGTGATTATTATATAACTATATGATTATATAATCATAGTTCTTCTCAAATAATAGCTCATGAGGCTATCTTGATACCCCAGGGAACTTCAGATTGCACTTTTGTTCTTGCAGAAACACTACAGCTATCCTCACTTGAGACATTTTATACTCTATGTATTGTTAAAGAAATTTGATGGGATTTAGATTTGACTAACCAGAGAGGTAAGTTTGTGATCCTCTTACCTGTTCTAGGTTATATGTCTCCACACCCATCTCCACTAGGAGCACCAGAGCATGTGTCCAGCCCAATGTCTGGAGGAGGTCCAACTCCACCCCAGATGACTCCCAGCCAGCCAGGACCCATTATACCAGGAGACCCACAAGTTATGAATCAACCTAACAGAGGTCCTTCCCCTTTCAGCCCTGTACAGCTGCATCAGCTGCGGGCTCAGATTCTAGCATACAAAATGTTAGCTAGAGGTCAGCCTTTACCAGAAAACCTCCAGCTTGCTGTTCAGGGCAAGAGGACCCTGCCTGGCATTCAACAGCAGCAGCCTCCCAGTGCCTTCAACAGACAGTCTGGTAAGTGAATCTAGGCCTTGTGTCATTGCGCAGGTAGTTCTTGAAGTTCTACCTGTGGAAAATTAAGAAATGGGGGCTGTGCAGGGTTATAATTTGGGACTGTATTCTGGCATCTAAGTGAACAGCAGCCTTTGTTTTTAAGCTTGAGCAAGTGCATAAACCACATCTATTATTAATAGGAAATTTAATGCAAAACTGAAATAAAAGTGATTTCACTGTGCAGTATTGTGTCCCTCCTGATTATGCTTCCCATCTTTTGTATGTTAATCATACTTTACTGATCGCAATTTTTGTTTTTCGTAGCCTGAATTTTCAGTCTCCTGTCACTATGCAGAAAAGTAGTTGAAAAAGTCTGGAGCAAGTTGACTGATTATTTAGGTTTTAGTGTACTGTTGAGTGAAAAACATAACAAGAAGAAAATGTTCTTATTTTTTTTCTCCTAATGATAATAGATGTTTGAGTGCAATAAGCAAGCACATTTTGGTCCTAAGAAAACTGTTACATTGAACGCCCTGCACTTGCTAGTTTCTGAACACTTCCATTACTGAGTTTTCATTTAGAAATCGAGGGTTAAGATGATACTATTTTCTTTTTAGTGATGATTTTAATAATTTCACTGGTCGCTTCATTTCAGTGGATATGGCTTTGCTGCTGAGTAAGGTTTTTTCTAGGAGACATGATTTTAATATGCTTCATTACATACATTTTTTTCAGCGTAACATGTACTGAAATCCATATTTAATGAAGAAAAATACTACTTGCCTGAATAGACTAGCATGCTAGGAAGCAGAATGATTTTTGAATACTTGGAAATGCTTTATATCTTACTAAGTTTCTTTCCTCTGTTAAATTGCAGGTATTGGGTTACATGCAATGAGTGGTGCTGCAGCTGGACCAGGGCCTACTGCAGGGATGCCTGGACATACAACTGCCATCACCCCTAAAACTTGGACTGACGGTATAGTGGAATATAATGCTAATTTTATGTCATGTACAGAGTTATGATTAAACAGTGTGGGTAGATTTTGGGGAAAAATTGCAGAGGAAAAAAAAAAAAGGGAAGGTAAAAAGGCACGCCAAGAAACAGTGTAACCTTTAATGTGCCTAGGACTTCATACAAGTCGAGTATAACCATTTACTCATCCATGAATGACTTGACCACATGAAATTACTGCAATTGTTAGGCAGCCTGAACGTGAAGCACCTTTTTACAATCAGAATGAAATATGTAAGCTGCATGAGGGACACCCATAAAATCTACTTAATAACTTATGTTTTGAGCATGCTTAATTGCAGCAAGCTTGTCTTTCAACTATGGTCTGTGCTACTGTAAACAGAAGTTTTGGAATCATGGTAGAATTAGGCTGCTTTTTTTTTTTTTCCTTTTTTAATTGGATTGCTTTGAAAGTTCACTGGAGTCTTTGAGATCTAATGAACAGTGTGACATTTTTCCCCCTGCATGATAATCAGGTTTTGAACCAAATCATTCAGATTTGGGTGTACGGGGTGGTTTTATTGTTTGAAAGTAGAGTGGAAGAAGATTTGTATTGAAAAGTATTAGAGATCCCTAGTAATATATATTGTTTGAAGTTTGGGGGTTTTTTTAGAGGGATTTAAAAAGAAATACAGTATTGCAGGCTTGCGAATAACACAGGCTTCCCATACGGTAGAAATGTTACGCTGTGTTGTTGCTTGGGTAAATAATGGGGACAGTGATGACTCCATGGTAGTTGATGTCATAAAAAATCCTCTGTCATTAGTCAGCTACTTAGGGCAACATAAAAAGAAAATGAATACTAGTATGTAATCAGATGTAGAATTGCTTTTCTTGGAATAGTCTCAATGAATACTTAAAATTTGAGTAGGATAATAAAGGGGGGGAAAAGTGTTTCTTGAGAGGTTGTATGTATGGGTTTACCAGGTGCAGTGCCTTCTAGCTCAAATGCTGCTACTAAAAAACGCTGGCGGGTATACATAATTGCTAGAGGGATAGTTTAATCTAAATAAGCCAGTATGTCATAGTATGTCTGTCCTGTTTTAGGAATTAGGTCCTACACTTGCACAAAATCAGCTCTACAGCTGTTTTAGTTACTCTAACACTAGAATTAAAAGTCAGC